AACAAAGGGTTGTACAACTAGCATTTGCTCCTCCAATCTAGCCAGTATGGAGAGAGTAAGAGTCCTAATGCATCTCCTTCACTTGAACAACCAGTTTTACAGAAATAATTACAAAGTGAGGCATAGAGTCAAGTAGTAAAAAGATAAATCTGAAATGATCCTTACCCTTCAGTAAATTCCAAGTTTCCAGGGTCAATGGGAAACTGTTGGCATTTTAGGGATATTTTCTTAATGACTTATGTCTGTTCTTCTATAATTACCTCTAGAGATTAAATGGTCTGTGTTAGATTCTGAGCCTTCCTGTGTGCCATGCTGGGAAAACCCTCCCAAAAATGATATCATAGCTCTTAAAATATCTGAGACAGAAGGCCAGGGTAAAAGCGTGGATGAGAGGGAGGGCAAGGGAAAGGAGACCCACCGGTTGACGTCACAAAAGCTATGAAGGTCTGGGCAATTTGATAAAAATGAGGATAGCACAAGCTAAGGTGTGTGACCCTGAGCTCCACGGGACTGAGGCTGATCTCTGATACTGGGAACACTCCTGAAAGTGAGCCAAGTAGTAAAATTATGCCTAATAAGTTATACTTGTTTCAGTCTATTTCAGTAACAACCATCTTTGCAGTCCTAGGAACAGTGGAGACAATATAAAAATATGATTAACTCTTCCCTCAAGAAGTTAAATTGGAGTAAGAATGATAATTCTCATCATCATCAGACAGACGAAGATTTAAAAAATCCATAAGAGTTCCTTCCACAAAGAAAATTTCAAAATGACAGCTGTCAGAAGTGTCAGGTCCACAAGAGGAATTATACAGAAACCAAGAAGCACAGAAATGGCTAAGAACAAAACAAGAACTGTGTTCAAAGTTTAACTCAGCTTAGATACCAAAGATAATGAAGTCCCAAACAGAACATTTGGAGAGAAATACATTAAATCCAGTCTCTAGTGACTTCCAGGTACCTGGAAGTGCTTACCTTAAGAGCTCATAAAAGCAAACAGGGAATGATATTTGAAAACCAAAATAAGACTAGGAAATTCCTAAAAGGAGACAGTTCTTTTTCCTTGGAGACAAACCAAATTATGCATTGCCTCTCTTGCCAGCATCATACTCTGGCTCAAACATTTTTAAAAGAAGGCTGCTGAACATCTGCTGAGCAATTAATGGAATGCAGCATTGTGCTATAATGGTCCCTGGGAAGATATTAGCAATCCTGTTTATGAGACATGAAATGTTGCAAACAGTGGTCCTTTGCTTTTCTGTTTTCTTTTTTTCCTCCTGCCTGCAGGGGGGATGAGAGGAAAGGAAAGGAAGTTGAGGTAGAAGCTCTGCATCAAATGCTCTTCCTCACTGTTTATTCTTCTCCCCAGGTGTTCTCCCCTTCCTGGCCACCCAGATATGAATGTGTTAATATTAACTTAGTAAAAGCAAGTGTGGCAAGTGTTTCAATCCACCTATCCCCCATCAAAAGTGCCAAGTTTCCTATGTGTGAAAAGAGAATTCCCTCCACTGTCTTTGACAGACACAGAGTCTTCCACACTGTTCAAAAGGTTCTTTAAAAAACCGTATCATATAGATAGAGCTAATTTAGGAGCAATCTTCAACATAAAACTGACTCCTCATATTTTTTACTTCCTCATCAGAATCACTGGAGACCTCCACTCTTGGCATATACCTTGTCTTTTGTATCTGAAGGTCATTCTGGCCCAGAGCGACTTTGCCCTTGTGGGCACTACCAGTTCTAACTCTATTATGACAATAATATTACGACAAGCTCAATATAGCAAAAGTTTCTAAGCCTCAGTTGTTGTGTTGTTAGCTCTTGATATTCTCTTCCTTCACACTTCACTTTGGAGCCAATTATTCGTATATAAGTCTACCTCTACTCCAGTTGCTATGCCAGTTGATCAAGTTTAGAAGTATATTGATAAAAGGCTCTACTCTAAGATGTAACAGGAAGAACCCTTAACAGACACAAAGGTTTGAAGCCAAAGCATTCTCTCATTTTCTCCAGCTTGGCCCAGTCTAAGACTGGGCTTTTGGCTGGTCCTGCATTTTGTTGTCTTCTTGGTAACCTGGCATCAAACATACCTATATTGTAGGAACTCTCCTTCAAATCTCAGTTTGCTTACCTGGGCTCCCAGAAACATATCTCCCTTTTGCTAGCCCTTCTTCCCAAGGACCTGAGTTCTGCTGCCCAAGTTTCCAGCTGTGGAAGGGACTATGAGCATGAACTGAAGAGATTTTCCACATCTTCCTAACTTTGCAGTATTCCTTGCCTTCTGGAGTTTACAGCTGTGGGATTAACTCCTTATGGTTATTGGGAATGGACCTTCCTTCCCACATGGGACTATGGATTACCTGACTGCCCTTGCTATGTCAGTGTTCCTGGCAGAGCCACTGGCCAAACCAGTTTCAGCTAATTACCCACTTTGTTGGTCCTTGTCTTTCAGCTTGGAGCCTTTGTGGTGCAG